AGCAACTCAACTTGGATCACCTACAAGACCTTGGGGCCAGAAGAGCTGTGGAGCCTACTCACAATGCAGTAAGTCTTTGGCTGAGTGTCTTAGGGTTTCTATTGCTGTGAAATGACACTATGACCACAGCAACTCTTATAATGGAAAGTATTTAATTTGAGTGGCTTGCTTACAGTTCAGGGGTTCAGTCCATTATCATCATGATGAGGAGCATGGCAGCATGTAGGCAGATGTGGTGCTGGAGTAGTACCTTAGAGGCTTATATCTTGCAGGCAACAGGAAGTTGACTGAGACACTATCCTGAGCATAGGAACCCTCAAAGCTCGACCCCAGTGACACACTTTCTCCAACAAGGCCACACCCACTCCAACAAAGCCACACCTCCTACTAGTGCCACTCCCTATGAGATTATGGGGGACAATTACATTGAAACTACCACACTGAGAGAGCCCTCTCTCCCAACCCTCACCCAGGCAGCATAGCTTGGCATATGGACAGCTGCTGGGGGTTTGGGCTTGGGAAGCTTGGTAGGCCAGGCAGGCAAAGGATCCAGTTATGTGCCCCTGGGGGGTGTCAGGGTCCTCTGCAATGAAGCATGACCCCTCAGCATTCAGAACACAGACCTGGACATATTATGCCTTGGACATAAGTTTGATGGGGAGGTGTTTTTCCTGTTTATTGAGTGAGTTACTGGATGTCCAGTGAGGCTGGGGACCTGACCTGGGCACTGTGTCAGGACACTGCCTGCTCCCCACCCCAGGAACTGGACTGAGTCCTGCCGAGGGGCATTGTGGCTACCCAGGTGTTCAGAAGCTAAAGCCAGAGGGGGCCTCCCCTGGCTGCTTTCAGCACTGTGAATGGTCCAGTGCTTGGAGCTGAGGGGCAGGGCTGGTGTGTCCTGTCTGTGTGCAGAGTCCTATCAGATGTCCTCAGTCCCCAGGGTCAGCAGGCAGAGTGCTATCTGCTGAGGTGGGCGTCCAGAACTGCCTCACAGGGGTAGCCCTTCCCCTCAGTCCCCATGGGCCTCCTTGGCTGCAGGAGCTGTTCTTTTGTTGTTGGGGGCCAGGAAAGGGCCTCTATCCTCTACAGCTTCAAGGAATGGGAAGGGGAGGGTAGGAAGAGGGAGCCCAGGTGAGAGGGATGGTGCTGCTTTATTTGAAATGTTTCTTACCTCATTCCCTGCCCCAGGAAGGGGCCCAGCCTCACCTTCCTGGGGTGGCCCCCTGTTCTCCCCCCATCCTGCCCCCAGCCCTGCCCTGCTGGGGCAGCCTGAGTTCCCAGCTGCTGCTTGCCACCCCTTCACCTTGACCAGCTTTGGTTCCTCTCAGCGCTCCCGCCTCTAAAGCCTGCCCTGTTCCCTCCCTTGCCGCTTTTTAAGTTATTGATTCTGTACTTATGGTTTTGGGCTCTGAGGAAAACCATAATCTTGTGCCTCTCTCCCTTTGCTAGGAGTAGGGTGGGATGAGAAGGTAGTCTCTGCCCTCAGTTGTCAGCAGAGGTTGGAGGAGTGTGGTTGCCCCTCTGGGGGACTGTCATGCCAGGGCACCCACCTACCTGGCTTACATCCTGAAGAGGTGTACTGTCCCACCTCCCAAGCAAGTGGTATGCCTTGTTACTGTGCTGGAGGACCTGGGCATGGGCTGGAGTACAGCTGACAGGAACGGGGTTGACCCTGAGCCAAGTTTTCCGGCACTTGCTATACATGTCCCCTCTCTTCCCAGGAGAAGCCACTCCTACATTGGGTAGCTAGTACCCAGGACTGGTTGGATTGGTTTGGGTTAGAGACCCCAGAGGGTTAAGGAAACAACAGAACTAGGGTTGTAGTATACTGTCTGGTACCCTAGTCTCCCCTGGGTTTTTTCTGATTGTGGCTGATACTTATTATTTTTTAAAAAGTCAAACCAATTGTGGCAGGAGTTAGAATAAATCCTAGAACCTAAAAAAAAGAACATATATCTTTAAAATGGACCAAATCAGGGGTAGAGAGATGTCTCAGTGCTTAAGAGTACTAGTTGCTCTTCCAGAGGACCCAAGTTCAATCCCTTGCACTCACATAGTAGCTCACAACTGTCTGTAACTCCAGTCCAAAGGGATGTGATGCCTTCTTCTGGCCTCTGTAAGTAGCATGCACTCATGTGATACACAGGCACACATGCAAGCAAAACACTGATACACATAAAATCTAAAACAAATTTTAAGCTGGGTGGTAGTGGCGCACACCTTTAATCCCAGCACTCGGGAGGCAGAGGCAGGCAGATCTCTGTGTGTTTTAGGCCAGCCTGGGCTACAGAGTGAGTCCCAGGAAAGGCACAAAGCTATACAGAGAAACCCTGTCTTGAAAAAAAACAAATTTTAATTAATCAGATTACTTCCTTTGAAGAAAATCCAAATTTAAACCATGAGGTAGCTACTAAGGCTCACAACTAACTGCTCATAAAGAGTCCTGTCCCTATAGGACTCAATAGCAGCAAGCTGGAATGTAAGAAGCCTCACAAGGTTTGGGGATACTGAAAGGCCAGATCTAGATTGGGATATAATATGAGAAGATAATATGAAAATATTTGGAATAAAAAGAAAAGTGAACTAGATACTTCTTGACATTTGGAAGTGGTATGTGACAGACAGATACCAAGGATAGCAAAAGATAAAACTGGAACAATCAGGACTCCTGTATCTAAACAGAAAGCACCAAAATTCATAGGACTATCTCTATTTGAGAAGTGAAAACAACACATAGCTCATTGAACTATCATACTAAGACCTATATATAAAATTATAAGGAAGTCACAGGACATCCTCTGAGGAAAAGAGCAGGAACAGGCAGAAAAAATTAAAGATTATGCCCATACCTAGCAAAACCTGCATTACTCAACACCTAATGCTGTGTCAAGATCAGAAATCATGATTAGCCAGGCAGTAGTGGTACAAGCCTGTAATCCAAGCCTGTAATCCCAGCATTCGGGAGGCAGAGATAGGCGGATCTCCGTGAGTTCCAGGCCAACCTGGTCTACAAAGCAAATTCTAGGACAGCCAGAGCTGTTACACAGAGAAAACCTATCTTGAAAAAACATAACAAAAAAGGAAAGAAATCATGATTATGACATCAAGTTATTATGGATGCGGACCATTGAGCCCACCTGACATAATTTTGTTCCACTAGGATTTTGGACAACTAAATTTCCATATGCAGCAAAAATATGCCATCTTAAATGTATATTTGGCTAACTTATGAGACTTTAAAACAAGTGTTAAGAGACTTATTACAACCACACACACAAAATCCATCAATCAATCAATCTTTCTTTCAACATATCTATAGTCATTCTGTAACCTACACACTATCTATCTAATCTACCCATTCATCCATCATCCATCCATCCATCCATCCATCCATTTATTGTATGCTTTAAGAGTTAACATTAGGGGCTGAAAAGAAGGCTCAGAGGTTGGGAGCACTGGCTGCTCTTCCAGAGGTCCTGAGTTTGGTTCCCAGCAACCACATGGTGGCTGACAGCCATCAGTAATGAGATCTGGTGCCCTCTTCTGGCCTGCAGGCAGAACACTGTATACATAGTAAAAAAAAATAAAAAAATTAAAAAAAAAAGAGTTAACATTAGCTGGGTGGTGGTGGTGGTGCAAGCCTTTTAATCCCAGCACTCTGGAGGCAGAGGCAGGCAGATCTCTGTGAGTTTGAGCCCAGCCTGGGCTACAGAGCGAGTTCCAGGACAGGCTCCAAAGCTACACAGAGAAACCCTGTCTTGAAAAACCGAAAAAAAAAAAAAGAGTTAACATTAGTAACTAAAATCAGAGTAAAGAAGTTATGTTTGGCTGGGTGGTTGTGGCACATACCTTTAATCCTAGCACTTGGAGGAACTCACAGAGATCTCTGAGAGTTCAAGGCCAGTCTGGTCTACAAAATGAGTTCCAGGACATCCAACGCTACACAGAGAAACCCTGCCTCAAAAGAAAATAAATAAGTAAATAAATAAATAAATGAATAAATGAATAAATAAACAAAATTCAGACTCTCAGCAAATATATATATATATATATATATATATATATATATATATATATATATATAACTTGTGAGTTTATTACTCAAATTCTGGCAGGGGAGAAAGACAAATATGTCTATGTTTCTGGTATAGCACTCATGACAGTATGAGAGTAAAGTCTGCATAATAATTTTTCAAGAGGAAAATGATCCTGGGTTAAATGTAGAAAATAATGAAGAGAATTAAGATGGTGATTATGTATGTAAAACCAAAGGAATATTGTTCACATAAAAATGGTTTTATGGGTCAGTGAGGTGGATCAGCAGGTAAAAGCATTTGCTGTACAAGCCTGGAAGCCTGAGTCTAATTCCCAGAATCCACATACAAGTGGAAGAAGAAAACAGACTCTGCAAAGTTGTCCTGATCTCCATGTGAGTTTTATAGCACATGTACCCACTCACCCATAAACACACACACACACACACACACACACACACACACACACACACACACACACACACACAATTTTAAAAATGGTTTGTGCACACAGATACCATATTACATCATTCTATTTTGAAAAAATCTATGCACGTTTATACATAGACATGTAAATGAACAAACTTGTTAAAAATTTAGAGGACTGATAATAAGTAATGATGGCTGTGGAAAGTGGAAACTTTCTCATACTGCCCTTTACATTGTAATGTATACAGCTTAAGGCAGGAAAAGTCCAATAATTAATAAAGCTGAAAACCTTCTGCATCAATTAGAGCCCAAGAAGGAAACATATCAGTTGTTTTAACACAGAAAACCTACTTCAAATAATTTACTGGCTATGAAATTGTTAGCCACACAAACATATGAGAACATTTAGGATATCAGGGAAGTAGCAACTGCAGAAAGCCACTGGGCAAGGGCAGTAATGTCATGGGGATGGGTGGTACAGTGTTCCCTTTTGTAGGTTCGTGATCTCATAAATAAAAGAATTTTAAAAGACACAGAAAGAGCTCAAGGACAATTTATTGGAGTCTGAGAAAAAAAACACAGCAAACAAGCTGGAGATCTCAGCAGCTGACAGGAGACTTAAAGAGGGAAAGGAGAAAGCTATACTTTCAACAGAGCACAAGGGGAACACACTACAGAGAACAAAGAGAGCGACCAGGGTCACGTTCAACATTACCCTAGGTTGAAACCCCAGTAAGAGAATATGTTAGAGATTTGTGCCCTTCCCTTCTGCTTTGAAAACAAGGATCCTAAAACAATGGACCCCCAAGAACCCCATGCTGAGAGAGGGGAAAAACTAAAAGGCACTGGTGTGCAAACACCAGAGAAGGAATCTGCCTTTGGGGAAGAGATTTCTTATAGTTTTGACAGCTTATCTCGGTTAACACGTGCATAGCTTCTGGCTTTTCTTTCATTTCTTCTACAAAACTACAGTGATACTACAGGAAGGGTGGAAGGAAACTAGGAGTCTGTCTTGCTATGGGATTTGCTCAAACATTTAATAAATCCATTTCCTTTACCAGTCTCTAATGTCTTTTTAAATACATGGGAACCAATTTAAGGGCCAAACTGCCCAGCAACACTTTGTTCTTTGTAGTTTTTATTGAAGGGGCACAAAACTGTCATCTTTTCAAAGTGACATGGGCCTTGGGCATGAAGGCAGAGCTCTACCCTTTGGGGCCAACCATGGAGAAAATGCTTAACCTTAATATCACTTGAGTTAACCTTACAGTCAGCTAAGAGTTGGTTTGGGTGACCTAGAATTCATGATATTTCTAAAATAATAATAATAACTACATGTATTTTGCCAGTTTACCTTCTAGTTTTGTTAGTTTGGGCCAAAGAAGCAATAACTAATATCTATTGCTGTCTGATTACATTTTGATTTCATTAGCTTTGGAACAGTTTAGAGCCCCTGCCTGTCACTGGTTCATCTTTAACATTGCAATTCATTACAAGCAGCTTATGGACTGTTATCCCTCATTGAAAGGCCAGTGCTAGTTGATTTTTTTTATAAACATGGAAAGCCAGTGCTTGAAAATTAATGACAAATACCTTAGAGATTTTTCTATTATAGTCTCTGAGTTTAAGTACAGCTTGATCTATATCATGAGTTCCAGACCAGCCAGAGCTACATAGTGAGACCCTGTCTCAAACGAACAAATGTTTTAAATTCCTTATCTATCAGGCAATTATTGACCACTGACCAGGCCATTTTTATCAGAGGCAGCTAACATGTTCTTATGTCTGAAATGGTTCCTGGAAGTAGATGCTGCAGAGGATACTTTCTTTCTCTTTCTGCCTAGCATCCGTTATCAGTAACAAAGGATGAAACCAGAATTATTTAAAAGAAGAAGGAACATGCTTGTGATACCAAGACTTGGAAGGGAGATAGCTACAGGATAATCCTGAGTTCTAAGCCAGCCTGTGCTATAAAATGAGACCCTATCTTTAATTAAAAAATAATAATAATTAGAAGGGTATAGGAGGGGTCCTACATTGCTAGGGCTCACAGGTTTAAGGTGGTGACATCATTCAGCTGATGCTTATCTCAAGAAGATACAATACCACAAGGCTGTTTCTTTCAGAGTTGAGCATCTGATGAAACTGCCAACAGGAACTCCTTTGTCCCTGTGTAGTGATTCTGGGAAAACATTTGGATGAACAAGGAGCTCATGGAAAGGGGAAAAGATCAAGTCCCTTTGTCTTTAGCCCAAAGTATATATCTAGTATCTTTTTTTTCCTTTTTCCTTTTTTTTCCAAGACAGGGTTTCTTCATGTAGCCCTGGCTGTCCTAGGTTTTGTAGACCAGCATGGCCTCAAACTCAGAGATCTACCTGCCTTTGCCTCCTGAGTGCTGGGGTTAAAGGCATGTGCCACCACAGGCTGGCTGTATCCAGAATCTTATTAGCCAAGTTCCAAAAGGTAGCAGCTGACAAGGCAGAATATGTTTCAGAGTAACAAAGCACACTCTAGAAGGGTGGACTCACAGTAAGAACAGAATAGCTTAATAACTGGCACAAGACTTAAAGTTACCAACAGGGACAGATCTTAGGAAGGTAATTGAAAACAAGCCAGCTTGCTAAGCATTTAACTACAATGTGACACAATTTCTGTAAAAAAATTAACATGACAAAATAGTATTATACATTGCAGGCTCCATACTATATCAAAAAAATCTCACAGTAGATTCAAATTTTAAATGTTTGAGGAAGTATAAATAAATATTACCACCTTAAAACAGACAATAGCTTAAACATAAAACTTTAGTGCAAGAAAAGAGTTAACAAAATTGAAAAACCAGCTGAGTAATCTGAGAGAAGATATTTTAACACATGAATGAGGACTTTATATGCTTACATGTTAAACAATAACACCACCAACAACATTTAAACCAGAGAGTAAGATAAAGTTCTCATTAGGAAACAGTGAACAAAAGATATAAGCAATCAGTACAGATTTAAAAAAAAATATTCAAATGGCTAATCATCACACAATATGTTCAACTTCATCACTAAATTGAGAAATACAAATGAAAAAAGACAGACAGACTGTTTTGCCCACCTGTTGTCAAAGCACTCAGAAGACTGGCAAAAGTTCAAGGCCAGCCTGGGCTACAAAGTGTCTCCAAAAAAAAAGCAAGCAATACTAAGCTATTCTCTAAAGGGATCAGACACATTTTTATACCAGTCTAAGTACCAAACAGTGGCAAATGTGCTTTGCATGTTCTGCTTGATTAGATGCCCCTAGGGGCTTGGCCCAGTGTTGGGAGTGAGGGACTCTTCAAGAAGCTTTCTCCAATGCACAAAGCAGGGATCGGCCCAAGTGAGTTCTCTGGTGTTCTGTGAGGTGGGCTTTCCGACAGAAGCCCTTTCCACATTCCTGACATTCAAAAGGCCTCTCTCCTGTGTGAATTCTCTGATGCTCAATGAGGCGCACTTTCACATAAAAAGCATTTCCACATTCACTACATTCATAAGGCTTCTCACCAGTGTGAGTCCTCTTGTGTTGACGAAGGGATTTCTTCATGCTAAAGATCTTCCCACAGTCACTACATTCATAGGGTTTCTCTCCTGAATGAATACGCTGATGCTCAATGAGTCGAGCTTTCACATAGAAAGCATTTCCACATTTATTACATTCATAGGGCTTCTCTCCAGTATGGATTCTCTGATGGATTCCCAGAGATGAGTGTACCCTGAAGGCTTTCCCACATTCATTACAATGATAGGGTTTTTCACCTGTGTGAGTTCTTTGATGATTATTTAGAGTCATTTTCATTCGGAAGAATTTCCCACATTCTCCACACTCATAGGGTTTCTCACCTGTGTGAATTCTTTGATGTTGGTTTAAGGATTTCTTTGCTCGGAAGTTTTTCCCACAGTCCCCACATTCATAGGGTTTCTCCCCTGTGTGAGTTCTCAGGTGCTGGGTGAGAGATATCTTGACACGAAATGTCTTACCACATTCATTGCATTTATAAGGCCTCTCACCAGTGTGGGTTCTCTGGTGGATTGTGAGGGTTGCCTTCTCAGAAAAGGTTTTCCCACATTCAGTACATTCATAGGGCCTCTCTCCTGTGTGTGTTCTGCAATGTAGAATGAGTTGTGACTTCCTGCCAAAAGATTTTCTACATTCATGACATTCAAAGGGCTTTTCTCCCGTGTGAGTTTTCTGATGAGCAATGAGGTATGACCTTGCACTGAAAGTCTTTGTACATTCACCACACTCATAGGGCCTCTCCCCTGTATGTGTTCTCAGATGTTCAACAAGGTTAGATTTCCTGCAGTATACTTTTCCACATTCATGACATTCAAAGTTTTTATCTCTGGTATGAGTCCTTTTATGTTGAACAAAACCTGTTTCTTCATGGAAGTCTTCCTCACATCTGTTATAATCAACATTTTGATTCAAAGTTCGAATACTCTGATACTGAAAAATGTTATTCTCCAGTACAAGGGCATTACCCCCAATTGAACTGTTGCCAGACAGCAGAGACAGAGGTCCTTTAAAAACAAGATGTGTGTCATTCATTCATGTAAAATCCCCAAATGGCTTCCCCTGTCATAATATAAAACACTTAACATAGTCTTATAATGCTATAATTTGGAGCTAGACACAGTAATTCAAACCAGTAATCTCAGTAATTGGGAGACTGAAGCAGGAGGATCACAAGTTTCAGGACAACTTGGGCTGTACGGTGAGACCTGTCTCAGAAAAACAACAAAAGAGAAAAAAGAAAAGGAAAGAAAAAAGAAATCCACCTACAATTTGCCCCCTTGCTAATTCACAGACCTCTTCACTAGTCCCAGGATACATTTCTCAAGTAAGGGTCAACATTCACAATTCTCTTCCTAGAACACACCAAAAATACATAGCTCTGTCTCTCACTTCACTGACATTTGTACACTAATGTTGACCTCACCAAAAACCTTTCCCTGGATATAGTCCCTAAAAGTGCACATTAATGGCTGTCTATCTTAATTTGGACTGCTTTTCTTTTCATCATCCAAAACACCAAAACACTACATATTTATTTGTTTCTGGATGCCTTCCCTGACTAGATTGCAAGCTCCAAGAGAACAGAGATATTATTTATTCACTGCTGGATCCCAGTACCTAGAATGTGACCAGCACACATTTGACAGCCCTTTAAGTTTTGGTAGATAATTAATTGAATATATGAACAGATGCCTGACATCAGAAGACATCAACAGCAAATTAAGAAATGGAAGGACAGGGCTGGAGAGGTGGCTCAGCCGTTAAAGGCTAGGCTCACAACCAAGAATATAAGAAATGGAAGAATAAATTTCTAACATGAGGCAGAGATCAGTAAGTACAACAGATAACATTATAAATATCAAAATACACTAGTACTAAGATGTGAGCATAATATTGGGGTAGATAATTTTGTTTAGTAATTTAATTTACTGAAGCATGTAAACTTTCTGTCTTTATTTCAAAGAGCCCAAGGCTCTAAAACGATTCCTGAAAAATATTACATAAGGATGCCCTTTGACCTAAATTCCTGGGGTCTGGATTCCCATGTGTTCAGTGTTTCTGGTTCTTGCTCACTCACCTGAGTAATTACGGCCTGAAGATTCCTCTTCTAATATCCACAGTTCTTCTCCTCTCTCCAACTTAAAGATCATGTCCGGTTTGGCCACGCAGAGGCCTGTTAATGGGAAATGGCACAGGACATGGGCCAAGAAGTTTGAGCTTTAGGGCATCTGATGGAGGAGGAAGGTACATCTTTCATGAGCTGCACAAGGAAGGGGCCCATTTAAACCTTACATTTGGGGATATGAGAACACATTCTTCCTGGAGTCCTAAACTGATCATTCAGCTGTAACTCTTTTTTTTTCAGCTGTAACTCTTCAATCTAAAACTAATATATCACTAAACTGCAGTGGTGGCATATAGGACAGGAACCATATGCTCCCAGGGGTTACCCAGACACACTCATCCTCACCCACAGATGCCAAGTGACTGTAGGTCTCCAGCATCACATCCTTGTGCATGTTCCTCTGGGTAGAGTCCAGTCTGTGCCACTCTTGTTGGGTGAAATCCACAGCCACATCCTCAAATGACACAGATCCCTGTAATGACAGTCTACAGTGATCAGAGCAGGGGCACGTTAGGGAGAACACATAGGTACTAATCTTCTCAATGGAGCCCCATTGGGAGCTGAATGGAAAGAGCCATGATGGATACCTTGGTCCATGTCTTACTTGATACTGTACTATAGAGAGGAACTCTGAAAAGCTCTGGCACCTGTTAACTTACTAATTATTAGACTGACAGTAGCACCTTGTACTGAGGAGGAGGAGATGGGAAGATCAGTGCCATCCTTAGCTACACAGCAGGTTTCAGGTAAGCCTGGGCTACAGGAAACCTTCTCTGAAATGAAACAAAACAAAACACACACACACAAACACACACACATACACACACACACATGTATTAGGGCTATGTCTTGAACTTGGAACCTTACATGTCATAGGAATATTATTTTATTTGTACAAACTTACTTGGTACTATGTGATAATTTGACATGCACACACACACTGTATGTGTGTATGTATGTATATATGTATGTATAAAAAAGAAGGTTGGCAAGATTGCTCAGTGGGTAAGATCCTTTGCCACCAAACCAAAATAAAATGAATTCATTCCCTGAACCCACACAGAAGAAGGAGAGAACCAACTCTCACAGGTTGTCTTCTTGACTTCTACATATTCACCATGGCAACACACATAAACACACACTAAAAATTAGGTATATAAAGTAAGCTTCCAAGTATAGTGGCACACTCCTATAATCCTAGAACTCAAGAGGCAGAGGCAGAAGGATTGTGAGTTTGAGGCCAGAGTGGGATATACATAGTAAGTTCCAGGCCAGCTTGGGCGGTATAGTAAGACTCAGATTCAAAAAAAGAAAAAGAGGCTGGGCAGTGGTGGCACACACCTTTAATCCCAGTACTCAGGAGGCAGAGCCAGGCAGATCTCTGTGAGTTCGAGGCCAGCCTGGTCTACAGAGCGAGATCCAGGACAGGCTCCAAAACTACACAGAGAAACCCTGTCTTGGAAAAAAAAGAGAGAGATAGAGAAACTGAAAAGGACTGAGGATGTAGCTCAATGCTAAGATGCTTGCCTAGAATGTAGAAGGTCCTAGGTTTGCTCTCCAGCTGTGTAAGATAAATCACATATGTGTATATATAATATATGAAGAAAGAATATGAGCTTGAGGCCAGCCTGAGCTACATAATTCTAGGCTGACCTGTACTATACAGAGACTCAAAGAAAATGTTGAATGTGGTCTCCCACACCTATAATTCCACCACTTGTAAGGTAGAAGCAAAAGGATCAAGAGTTCAAGGCCAGTCTCAACTACATAGAGACCCTATCTCAAAACAATAATAATATCCTGGGGACTATGGAGTTAGATCACAAGACAGGAAGGTTTGAACACAGAATGTGAATTCAGCAAACTACATATACTACAGTATGACAAGAAAAGTATGCTATGGGTCTAGGATGTGGCTTGTTTAAATGCACAAAGCCATGGGTTCTATCCCCAGTGCTCCATAAAACCAGGTGTGGTGATGCATATCTGTAATCCTAACATATCTGTAATCCTCGGGAGGCAGAGGCAAGAAAATTAGAAGTTCAAAGTTGTCCTCAGCTAAATATTAAGTTTGAGAGCTGCAAAAAAAATTTTAAAGAAAGATTACCATCTAATTGTGTTTGGGTACTGGCTATGTTATCTTCCATTGTATATACTCTTCTCTCTACCTTTCCCAGCCTCTATTAATCACTATTGTACATTCCAATTACCATTTATAACATCCACATGTAAGAGACTATGTAGAATTCCTACATCTGGCTTATTTACTTAACATAATGTTCTTCAGTTCCACCCACTTTACTGCAAATGACAGGTATATTCCTTTTTTTTCTTTTTTTCTTTTTCTTTTGGTTTTTTTGAGACAGGTTTTCTCTGTGTATCTTTTCACCTTCCCTGGAACTCACTCTGTAGCCCAGGCTGGCCTCAAACTCACAGAGATCCACCTACCTCTGCCTCCCGAGAGCTAGGATTATAGGTGTGCACCACCACTGCCCAGCCAGTATATACCTTTTATGTCTCCTCGGTACTCTAGCTCAAGTAGTCTACTGTTCCCTTGCAGTGTACAACAGAAACAACTAAGATATTCTTTAACCAAGGAATGGCTAAAATGTGTTCTATCCACACCATGGAATATTACTTAGAATAAGAATGAACGCCCAGCGGTGGTAGTGCATGCCTTTAATCCCAGCACTTGGGAGGCAGAGCCAGGCAGATCTTTGTGAATTCGAGGCCAGCCTGGTCTACAGAATGAGATCCAGGAAAAGCGCAAAGCTACACAGAGAAACCCTGTCTCAAAAAACCAAAAAAAAAAAAAATGAACAATCTACTGTGTCACATGTGTCACATACAGCAATCTGTATGAAGTTATAGAAAATTATTCAGAGCAAAAAGAATAAATCCCCAAAATGCACATAGTGCATGGTCTGATTATATAACATTCTTGAAATAATGCATCTGTACTGCATTAGAGAACACATTAATGGTTGTCAGTGATTAAGAGACAGAAAGGAAGTAGTCTTGGCTTTTTTAAAAATAAATAGATAAATACTTTATTATATATATATATATATATATATATATATATATATATATATATATATCCTCTTTTTTCTTTTAGTTTCTCTGTGTACCCGCTGTGGATGTCCTGGAACTCACTTTGTAGACCAGGATGGCCTCAAACTCATGTCATGGAGATCCACCTGCCTCTGCCTCCCGAGAGCTAGGATTATAGGTGTGCACCACCACCGCCCAGTGGTCTTGGCTTTTAAAGATAAAATAAGAGACACAGGTGCAGTTCAGTAATAGAGTATTTGCATAGACTTCACATAGATTCCTTCCCCCAGCATGGGAAAAAAAAGGAGAGATCCTTGTGGCCATGGAAATGTTCTGTATGTGAGAATCCAAGAAACGATCTACAAAGGTTTCACAGGATTACTACTAGGGGAAACTGAGTAAACCACACACTGCAACTGAATCTATAATTACTTCGAAAGAGACACATACCCAGATATGGTGGCACACACTAGTGATTCCAGCACGTTGGAGACTGAGGCAAGAGGAATGCCATGAGTTCAAGGCCAGCCAAGGCTACATAGCAAGATCCTGTCTCAAAAACCCCAAACAGAGTATTCTCCATTGTATCCCCTCTCACCCTTGGGAGTTCTTTTTCACTTTTCTTTAATAAATCTATGCTGAGCTCTGTAGCAAGCTTTTTTGTTGGACTATCTTTGGACCACCAGCCCACAAATAATGACCCAGAAACTTATTTATTAATTATGAGCTTAAATAAAGCTCTTTAGCTTAGGCTTGTCTCAACTAACTCTTACAATTTAAATTAACCCGTTTATATTAATCTTCATTCTATCACATGGTGTTCTCTCTCTTTCATCTTGCACTTCCTGTTTCCTCTCTGTGTCTGCCAGCAATACCACCTTTCTTCTTTCCAGAGTTCTCTCTCTGCCTGGAAGTCCCTCTTATAACTCCTGCCTAGCTATTAGCTGTTCAGTTTTTTATTACACCAATAACAACAACACATTTTCACACAGTGTACAAATATCCCACAACATTGCCCCTTTTGTCTAAATAAAATGGAAAGATTTTAACTCTAACATGGAAAAACTATATACAGTAAGAACAATTATCAGGTAAGAATTACATTCACAATGTCCAGTCCATTTGCATTTGGCAAATTCAGAGAAAATACTTCATTATCTATCCTATCTTGGTGAGTCCAAAGTTTTGTACATAATTCACGTTCTATCATATCTTATATTACCAGCCTTAAAATATCCTTTTAGACATTATAATATTTTCTTAAACAACTTTAGCTTTTATGTCTCTAAATCTTTTTTTTTTTTTTTGATTGTTTGTTTTTGTTTTTCGAGACAGGGTTTCTCTGTGTAGCTTTGCGCCTTTCCTGGAACTCACTCTGTAGATCAGGCTGGCCTCGAACTCATAGAGATCTGCCTGGCTCTGCCTCCCATGTGCTGGGATTAAAGGTGTGCGCCACCACTGCCTGGCATATCTCTCAATCTTATACACTTTACATCTCTTGTGAGTTTTTTTTTCTGATTTTGGTTAACAAGGAAAGCTGTAACTAATAACTATCTCATCTTCAACACCATAAGAGACCTGAGAAGTTTATAATATTACCTGAGTAAACAGGAAGTGCAAACAAATGACTTCCAAAAATTGTAAGAAATGACAGAAACAGTTGGCTGCCTAGACAGTCACTGAAGTTTCCTCTGCAACACTGGGGCATCCATCTTCGACCTAAAGACATCGAATATCTGATAGACTTTTCTATGAAGCAGGAATTTTGAAGAACTGTCCTACCTTGTCTTGGCAAAGTTTAGCAGTTGCCTTCTTTTGTGTCTTGCTTGTTGAATTTGGACAGCATACTGTCAGCAGTCAAGGCAAGGGCAGATTCTTGCCCAGTGGCTAACTTTGTCACAAAGAAAGCAAACTCCATATGGAAGTTCTTCAATGTCCATCATCCATTTTTTGAAGTAAATTGGTGCTGCCAGGAGTAGTGTCTCATTGTCATGAAAAGCCTTATGTAATTAAAACATCTTAAATGCTATATTCTGTAGGTTTGAAGACCATCTATCTATGTAAAATATATCTGTTTGACCTTGAAAGCATGCCTAACATAACTATAAGTTTGATTGTTATGGATGACTAACTACTAACCTGTGTTTCTTTATTATCCTAAATAGCTTCCAAAGACTAGAACTTTACATCACATTTTTAAATGAGCTGTATAGGTACAATACCTTAAACAAGAGTATAAACATATATAGAGTGTGTTATAACACCCTTAAATTTGCATAAATACACAAAAATCCATACCAATATAAAATATTTCAGATTAATTAATTTTTTAGTTTAAAAGTAGATTCAATAATCTAACCTTTAATTCTATAATTTCTATATCCCCATTTTTTTCTGAAAGAGATCATTGAATCTAACCTCCCCGTTGGGTAGAGGTGGTGCATGCCTTTAATCCCAGCATTTGGGAGGCAGAGGCAGGCGGATCTCTGTGAGTTCGAGGCCAGCCTGATCTACAGAGTAAGTTCCAGGACAGGCTCCAAAGCTACACAGAGAAACCCTGTCTCAAAAAGAAAAAAAAAGGAATCTAACCTTCCTTGCTTAGTTTACTCTCTTACCATGACCAGTAACAATTTGCAACCAACCCTCCTAAATAATGACAAACATCCATAACCCACAGAATGACCAAAACCACCTATCCCACCTCTTGGGAATGTGAACATCATGTTCTTTAAATTATTTCCTGTTGCCTGGGGGCATTGGCATCTTTAGGGAAACCTGAGAAATTTGAGATAATGGTCAAGTCCTGGGAAAACTAGATGTAACATTTGTTGTCCAGTCTCTGTACAATGAAAAGTACAGGGCTTATCTGAAGTCCTAGCTAGAGTAGTCTGTGAGGCTGAACCCTCCCAGCTAGCAGCTTTGAAGTTGTTCTAGATGCAGAATTTTGAGGAAACTTCAACAGAAGCATTCTAAGGGGCTGGATCACCTGGGCTATTTGTCTTTATTGGTGTCTGGTCATTTCTTTTTCTGAAAATACACAAACTTTTAAAGGTAACATATATATCTGTATGAACACAAGTATAGAATGAGCAGTGTGTAGAAGTCAGCTAAAGATGATTTTTTGTTCTATGTTTGAGCATAAGTCCATTTCAACTACATAACCAAACTGTAATATAGCTCTCTATCCATGCCATTTGAAAGGGTGGCATGT